ATGTGCCGCCGGGAAGACCTGGGCATCCCCTGCCCGGCGCTGCCAGCTCTGGTCTGCCGCAGAAGGGGTTACATCGGTGCCGGCTGCTCCCAACCACATACCCGAGTGGGCTAGGGACAGGATCTGCGATGGATAAAAATCTCCTACATCTGATTTTGGCCAGGAGCGAGTCAGAGGGCAGGGGTCCTGTTTCTGCAGAGCCATAAAGCCATGCTGGTGGTGCGGGGAGGGAGGCAGGGATGGAGGAGCGTGCCGCCTCCGCCAGCACATGGAGCAGCTCCAGCTCCACATTCCTGAGCTGTTCGGCAATGTTTCTGCGGAGGCCCGCGGCCCCCACTGGCTCCACTGATGAGGAATGAAATGCATTTCGGGTCCGGAGCAAGGGAGCCCAGCGACAGCAGGAAGGAGGCGGCGGAGGCGCCCGCCTGTGCCATTGCCGTCCATCCGGAAGTACCAGCAAAGCTGCAGAGCTGAAGGGACGAGGAACACCCTGCCGTAGAAAGAGCTTTCTGAATATTTCATACGCAGGGCGGGCTGCTGCGGTCACCAGGCCATCTTCTCTATATCTAAAAATATTCTCAAGTTAGGCATAAAGCTGCTTTCTGTCCCTCCACAGGAAAAGGAGAACATGCCACTGCCAGGACAAGGTCAGAGACCATGGAGGAAGGGGAGGGGAGGACGCCGGGCGGCAGAGAGGAACTGAGAGGAGCCAGGCCATGCCCAGCCATTTCTGCAGCTTCCTCTTGCCCTCCCCAAGCCACCCAAAATCAGGCGCTGTGCTGGAGGCACCCCGTAGCACACCCTTCACGGGGGCCACCACGCTTTTCAAGACCCCACAGAAGGATGACTGCTCAAGCCTTCCTACTTGCAAACTCTTACAAAAATGACAGAGCTCGGCAGGGAACGTGCTCGCGACATCAAGGAAACCCTCAGGGAAAAAGGAGATGGTTCATTTTAATTCCGATATTCTAAGGAAACAGTTCACGCTCCAGCAGCTGAACTTTGCTGACATCAATGTCTAAAGCAGAAATGCTCGCTGCTGCATGAGAAGTGCATCTCCTCAAACCCTGGACAGATTTGTCAGCAAACGTGGCAATTAATCACATGGGGTTTGCAAATCTGTTTCCTCCTGTGAGGGCACCAACAGAGGGCTTGAACCCCATGGACCTCTCCCCCGCCGGGTACCCTGTGGGATAGGAAAACCCGGACTAGACATAAGGGATGAGACAGCGTGGAAGCTCTGTGCTACAAACCAGAAAAATAAAGGCAAAGGACAGTGAAATTTAAGCTGTCCCTCTGGAAAGAAAGAAAAAACCCAAACAAACCCAAGTGAACACACACCGAATTTCTGTGCTGGCTCGCCTCCAGAGCAAGCAAACCCGTTCTCAATCGGCTGTCAGTATGCAAAGGCAGATAAGGCACTGGAGCAGTGAGCTGGCCAGCCGGCAGTCAGATTAACACACTTCTGCATTTTACAGAAAGCTGCATGCAACCATTTGAGCCATAAGCACGCTCCTGAGCTGATCCCAAAATGAGGGGAGGCGGTTCTTGATGGGGTCCCATCCCCCTTGGGACCAATCCCGGCTGCCTCCATCTCACCCCGCACTAGGTGCGCAAAACCATTGCGGTGGTGGAGGTCTCCGGGCTCTACTTAAAGGCAGGGGCAGCGCAGGCAGGGACGGCCATGGGCAGGCAGAGCCGCGCCGGCCCGAGGAACCACCGCGTCATTGCCGGGACCACTGAGAGCGAGTTTTCCGTCACGTGACGTAACTGCTATATTTGTATCGGCTGAGTTTAGCGCTGCAAGAACGGTTACAGAGGAGGTTTTATATCTTTTAAAAAAAAAAAAAAAAAAAATCAACCAAAATTCGATAGCAGCCTGCTGGTGCACTCATGGCGAGCTTCCAGAACAAGCTGCGAAACTTCAAATGCAACAATTTTGCCATTTTTAACGTGCTCTTTCTAAGGCAGACTCCG